TCCGGTAGGAATAATTGTAGATCATTATAGGGTGTAGGAAACTAGACCGGTTATTCCCTGTCCGGCGGGATGGCATACCCGCAACGGAGACATGGTTCATCACCCGTCAAAAGCGGATCCAGTCCACTGATCTCCACACCCTGTTAATCCTAGCCCTCCTGCGACCGAGGCAACAAATGTGATCTCGCACGTTAATTGGGCTTGTCCTCCATTGAACCCTTGTTACGTTGCGTTCTCACCTCCACAGGTGCTCGGTTTTGGTTGATTAGCCCGTGAGACATACCATTTCATTCGCAGCTTTTCATGACTGTCTAATATATTGTAATTTCTAGTTGTACAGCAGGGTTCACGGAAATGAATCAGAGACCCTTGTCCTTTTGATGGACTGGCTACGTGCTGGCTAGGTCAGAGCTGTTGTAAATCTCTAGGTCTCTGTTCCTGCTTCCCCCATTTTTTCTTCTTTCTCAAGTATTTCAGTGGCAGAGTTCCATGATTGATTGTTCGGGTTTTTGTGTGCCCATACGTGTGTATCGATTGTGACAACACAGTCGAATTCTTCAACATGTCCACGTACGAACTGAAGCAAATGGCGCCTCCTGTGCTGAGCGAGATGGAGGGACAACCGATCTACCGAGATAAGGACGACGTGTATTTGACTCGCATGGGGAAGCGCCCTGTTCTAAAGGTGAGGTGCCTCTATATATCCCTTCGATAGCAGACGTGCTAAGGTCATCAATCGACAGAGAAACTTTGGGTTGATGTCCATGGTGGGATTCAGCTGCACACTGTTAGTCACATGGGAGGGGTACATCATGTAAGTCATGATAGACTCTGCGTGGTGTCGACCCCGTGGCTAAGCTTAGGGCTCTTCCAACAGATTGTTTCTACAATCCTTTCAAAAGTACTTTACCTCCGCTGCATCAACATGTGGTAAATCGATTACTGACCTCGGCCCAGTGGCGGCCCGGCTGGTTCTGTTTATGGTTATCTTTTCGTCTGGGCTGGTATCGCCGCCACCTTTGTCGTCATATCCGAGCTTGTGTCGATGTAAGCTTCCAGTAGGGTTGCGCACCTGAAGTGTGCTAATAGATGAGCGACAGGGCTCCTACGTCCGGCGGGCAGTATCATTGGTGCTCGATGCTGGCCCCTCCATCGGCAATGAAGCTGGCTAGCTACATGACTGGTACGTCTTCATAAGGAAACGCAGGTGCTGTTGAGAGTTGGGATGTTTACGCCAAGGATAGGTTGGCTTACCGTGATCGGATGGCAAGCCACATTCGCATCCGCAATGTATCTGAACGGGAACATGGTCCAAGCCCTTATTATCCTTACCAGGTCGGATTATGTCCCTCATCCATGGCGGAAAGCTCTGTATGCATGGGGACTCTCTGTACTCTCCGCGATCATCAATATTGTCGGTGGCAAGTTTCTGCCCCGTTTTGAGGGCACCATTTTAATCTTTCATGTGCTGGGGTTTTTCGCCATCCTGGTTCCTTTGACCTACATGGCAGATCATAAGTCGTCCGCCGAAGAAGTATTTACCTATTTCATCAACGAAGGAAATTGGCCTTCAAAGGCGCTGTCAGTCTTTGTCGGGTTGACTGGCCCTGTTTTCGCTTTTGCTGGTGGTGATGCTGCGGTCCATGTATGTCAACTGTGGCTAATTCATGCCAAACAATCTGCTAACATTAGTGTCACAGATGGTCGAAGAGATGACCAATGCAACAACCGCTGTTCCCCTATCTCTGATGCTAACAGTGTTAATCAATGGGTCCATGGGATTTGGAATGATGATCGCCTTATATTTCTGTCTCGGTGATATTCAAACTGCGCTTAAATCCCCGACAGGTGTACCTTTCTTTGCCATCTTCCTGCAGGCAACCGGATCCATATCCGGCACGGCGATCGCAGGTGCGCTGGTAATGTCTCTGGGCAGTTGTAATACGATTGGCACCTTAACAGCTGCATCACGCCAGTTTTGGTCCTTCTCTCGCGACCGAGGGATTCCTGGATGGCGGATGTGGAGTACGGTATGTAGCTCTTCTTAAGCATAGGATTATCCTGTTAATTCAAACCGAAACCTCAATAGGTGACTGAACGTACGTCCATCCCAACATATGCAGTTCTTCTGACGGCCGTTGTCGGGTGCCTCCTGAATCTCATTACTATCGGTTCAGACGTGGCGTTCAACAGCTTGGTATCCATGTCGATTTCAGGTCTTTACCTATCATATATGACTGCTGGAGGACTTTTGTTATACCGCCGTTGTACCGGTGGGATTGGGAACGCGACCGCTGGCGAGCAGACGATGATCAACACGGCAGGCGCTAGGCTGGTCTGGGGACCATTTCGAGTTCCCGGCATTCTGGGTATAACCATTAATGTCTTCTCCTTGGCCTACATGACAATCGCTACGTTTTTTGGCTTCTGGCCTACAACTAAAGATGTCAATACACAGACGATGAACTATAGTATTGTTGGCACGATGGGGGTTATTATACTTAGCCTTATTTACTACTTTGTCCGAGCAAGGAAGGTGTACACTGGGCCTCTTATAGAGATATCTTGATGGTTATATGGATAACATGGGAGAAGGCGCCACGATTTCAATTTGGTTGAAGTAGCAGCCATTCTACAACTAGCTATCGAGAGAGGATATCAGGGGATACCCCATGCCAGTCTTTCCCGCCGGGACTGCACCAAAAGTTTCACTTCAAAGGGAGTCAATTTTCTCCCTTTGTTTTCACTGTATTGACTTTAGTTTGATTGGGCTTGCTGAGAAAATAGTTGCGCCCAAAATTCAAACTGTGACGGTTCTCTTGAATTGGTAATAAGTATATTGGGTAGTCCTACATGACCACAGCGCTTTCCATAGTCTTCTTTTACCTGTTAGGTAGGGAGATACCAATGGCTATATTTAGTTTAACAGACCAACAGAGATGAAGCCCAGATCATTCCCCAATATTCTTTGTAATACAGCCCCCCTTCTGCTGGTGGTGGTAAGGCTTATGGACGAGGTTCCCAGGGACCATTTAACAATCGCAGAGACAGGGCAGGAGTTGTCTTCAGTGCTCAATCGCTTTTGTATACAATACTCAATGGATTTTAATATATTTCTCGCTCACAGATCCAGTCCTAACTAATTTGCTAGCATGATTTAAAAAGATTATCTGTCTCCTATCGCCGTATACCCAAAAAGTAGACATTTGGAAGCCCCTCTAAATGCCGTGCCACGATTTTCATCCTGTCATTTTGCTCACATTACTATCATAAGTATTAGTCAATATAGAACATACCGTAACAGCTGTGCTTGTGACAATGCGAAGTGCTATATTTAGCAGGGTTGTGTTTCGAACATGCCTCGAGATGAGTCCTTCGTGAAGTATATTCCCCATTCGATTCTAATTTCTATGAATGGATGTTCCATGTTAGCTGTATATTACTATATTTACTTGATCTCCGTAATGTAGTCGGATATTTAGAATATCTTACGGCTCATATTTCTCCGCTGAGTAGATGTAACTGGGGTATTGGTGGACTACGTTTTTGCCTGATCGACACGCTAGTTACATTTAGTTGGTATGATGGTAGACGAGTCCTGCCTTCTCGTAGATAAGTAATACATATCGAGCTCAGGGATCGTCTAACGTATGCACTGGAGCATCAGTAGCTAGTTATCATGTGTTGGATATGAATTTAACGGTTTACAGTTACGGCTCGCTCGTCTATTGCCCTGAAGCTCGGGTATACGCCGTTTTAACAGCGGCATTACGAATGTACAAAAAGATAGTTTCAAAGAATTGCAATCATGTCAATTGAATGTTCGATAAAATTTAACCGAAGCGATGCTGATATTCGTTTCCCACGAGTCAAGTACATCGCCAATATATTCTCCATGTAGCAAAGGTCTGGCCACCTTATTTTGAGGATGAAACCAGAATGAACTAAATATGGAACTCCAAAACTAATTAAGAACAACATTCATTCAATGAGCCATGAATGTAACCTTGTTGCTGTCATGTCAGGTCTATCTGCGTAGGCGGGTCCATCCACAAAATTGGACCGTCTACAAAGTCTAATCGTCCACAAAATGGATTAGCTCCACCATCGAACAAACTTCATATCACTGTTTTGAATACTTGCCCCAGTTGTTTCAGAGTACTACTATGTTGCATTTGGACCCTTTTACTGTCGCCACGTTGGAATATTTAATGACCTTGCATTCGTCGCATTTCGTCCTCCTTAGTCTGCATACCACAATTCCTTCATAGAATCTACCGATATCTTGACCCTACCGTATTATCTGTCGTTATCATACAGCTCTCACTTCTCTGTTCATAATCACCCATCGAAGACATATTTACCTTCCATCATGCATCTCCAAGCCACTCTCGCCGTCGGTCTCTCCCTCCTCGGATTGACTCTGGCCGACACATTCAAGAATCCAATTGAATGGAAGGCATCCGACTTCGCCATCACCTGCGGCTCAGAAGACTGCAACTACAACTTCAACATCGTGAGCACTGCCACCGGGCCTTCCAAGTTCAAAACCTCCTGCTCCGGCGTTCCTGCCGAGAAAGACTATACCCCGTGCCAGGACAAAGGCACGGAGGCCAAACTGCAGGCTGTGCCTGGGGCGGACACGATGTTCAGCCTGCACGTACAGCATACTTGGATGGAAGGAGAAGCCAGATATACCGCTCATGGCGATGCCAATATCACGGACACCGCGAAGAGCTTCACAGTTCCTGTCACGCGGGTTTCGGGGGTTGTTTGAAGGGAATGACTGGTTGTGATTGGAGAGGGAGTGTTTATGGTTTGGTACTTCAGTTGTGTTTCGATTCATACTTGTCATTTTCAGAATTATAGCAAGGTTTGCCTTGGAATAATAAATATGCTGTGTACACGGATAGTCTTGGCAGTAGAGCACAAGTTGTAGTATAACTCTTCCTTCAGAACCGACCCAGACTAAGAGAAAAAGAAGTCAAAAAGATATCTCATTCCCCGAGCCGGAATCGAGCCAGCCACCTTTTGGTTACACGGATTATTCTCATATCCAACTAGACCATCGGGGGTTGACGAAACGATGCCCGCGCCGCATAATTGAAAATATAAATTAAAGAATCAAAATTTCGAAGTCCGCATTGCGGAATCAAGGCAACCAACCTAGATATTGACTTCGTAGGCCAATGTTGACCCCACACAACTCGCTCCAGCGAGGCGGTGTGACCAAAACAAAACACTGCGGGGTGGGACTTTGGTTTTGGCATGATTTAGACAACCTCTAGGAATCCTTGCGGGTCGTCATTCTAGATTACAAATGGACCCATTTAGCCGACTTCCGTGGTTCGTCCTCCGGGAGATACTATGCAATATCCCCGATCTGTCTACGCTGTATAGCCTCCACAATGCATCTCCAGCGATAGCAGCATTCCTCCACGAGAACGATGTTCTCTTCAGAGTAATTGTTGACACAATTATCACCAAACCAATCCTGAAACGAGGTCTGCTGCCGGAAGTTCTGCATTCTATAAAAGTCTTAATCGCCAGTTGGACAGAGCAGCTGCGATCCCAACAGAGCTTCCAGACCACAGTGTTGGATTCAGAGTTCCAGTCTCTGCTTCAATTATATGGAGATTGTATAGGCTTTCCAGACCTGGAATCACCCTTGTCGGTGTCTAACACCAGAGAACGGATCATACCTGAATCAACCCCGCCGGGCATTCTGTGTCAACTTCTTGCTCTGATGACTCGAATGCAACGTCCTGTGCATGCATGTTTTCACCCTTCTGTTGCTCGCTGCTTAGCATATAGGGGGCCGTCTTCACGGTCGCGCTTACACACGCCTGCTATTGGATATTTCAATACCAGACCTGTGGTGGGACCGGCCTCGAAGCAGCCGAAGGGAGTGCTTTTAGGTCCGCCAACATGGTTCGAAGAGCAACGCTTGGTCTCCGTCCTCTTCCATGTCGTCGTGTTCTATGAGCTTCAAAAAACTCATATTCCCTCGGATTGTCTTGATCTTACAATGCTAGAACTGATCCAAGCGGTAATGAACTACGATATTGAGGATTTCTGTGACCGGATATTGCGGTCTATGCACGAGGAGTCGCGGCGGGTGGGCGAACTCCTCGAGTGGCTGGAAGAACAAGCTGGGGGTAGGGAAAACATGCACACTTGGTTACGTTGGGTTATTGTCCCGGACAACTTGAGTCACTGTTGTCATCCATATACATCCATGATAAGAGAAGAATGAGCAGTATATGGACCAGTCAGCATAGTTAGCGCGTGCTTGTGGAGATGCCATAGCCATATGTCTTCGTACAAACTCTGTTATCTGAACTCTAACCGCGTAATCACACTGGCAACACTCTGACATAAGCTCTCCCTTGCATATGACAAACGAGTGACTAGTGTTATATATATACTCCTCTATATGATTACAGCAACTTAACCATCTATACATAGAGTTGAACAAAAGTATATGTATCTTTGCGTCAATCTTTGCTACACAGCTTACAGAAACCTACAATTCGATTAAGATACAAGGTGTCTAGAAAGTAATGTCACTACTTCGTACTGTTGCTTGATTTGCGTAGCCCTAATGTAATACAAGGCTTAAATTCTATCGGGTCTGGAGAGAAGGAATGAACTTGAAAATAATTGTATGGTACGTGCAGGCAGGGTTACTGATTAGGAGCCGTCTCACTACCTGGAAGGTATCATGTCATCGTGGAAACACACGGCATCGACTAAAGAATCAAGCCGAGAAGGGGCTCTCGAGCAAATATTGACATCCTTGTCCCATTATCATCCACCAGGTGCTGACCGTAGATGTGAAGGACAAAATGACTCCGGGGGAGGGCGAGTCAAAAGCACAGCAGAATCACATCCATCATATATTCAAGACTCTGAGATGCCCCTTATTATGTTGGGTCTCCATGCCTTGTTGAACAGGGATCCGATAGCCATTGACCCTAAGCGCTGCCAAGGCTTACTAGCATATAGTGCTGGGTCAGGGTCCACGAGGGTCCAATTGGCTATGGACCAGCGGCGTAGGGACTCTGCATACACCGTCGCATTCGAAGTGGGACACAGCGATGTTTCGTGGGCCATTCATCTTAAGAGCACGTCTCACTCTGTCTGAACGGACGCGGACATGCGGGCTGGCAATTTACAATGTCTGGCCCCATTTCCGACCAGGCCACAGAAGACAAAGAATGACCGCTCTCTTTCTTAAAATTAGTCGCTCACTTCTAACATTGAATCAACAGATCACCAGTATGCAGCAGCGCAGGCGGGCCCTTTGTTTTGCCATTCCTGCTCTTATTCTACTAATCATCACGTACTTTTTGTATCTGTCCAGACAGCACGGCCCTGCACTTTTACCCACCAACAGCGATCCGACGCCGCAAGAGCCCGACAGTCTGGAGCCAGAAGAGGTCCCCAAAGAAAACACGACACACGATCCAGCAGGACCACGAGTCGAGAGAAATGCGACGCGCACACTTGTGATTGCCAAACTTCAAGAAGAAGATACCGTATGGGTCGACAGCCTTGTCCGGGACGACCCTTATCTTACCAGCGCTGTCTACGTGGTAGACAGCAATACTAGTGCACCTTTTACTGTTCCTATAAATAAGGCTCATGAAGTGATGGTCTACTTAACGTATATAATCGATCACTATCACAGCCTCAGCGATATTTCAATATTTATGCATGCTCACCAGATTACCTGGCATAATAACGACTTCCTCGATTTCGATTCCGCTAAAATGGTCCGCCGCTTAAGAAGTCAACATATACTTAAAAACGGTTACATGAATCTTCGCTGTCATCTTGAGCCGGGATGCCCTGACCATATTCATCCATATATAGGAAAGGACTCTGATGATATTCTTAATGTACCCGAAGCTGCAGTTATCGGTATGGCATGGGGTCAACTATTCCCCGGCAGCCCGGTTCCATCCGTTCTTTCACAACCTTGCTGTGCACAGTTCGCTGTCAGCGCAGATCAAATTCGACAGATCCCTCAGGAACGCTACCTCGAATTCCGACATTGGCTTCTCGCAACCGAACTCGATGATCGATTGTCCGGAAGAGTCTGGGAATATGTATGGCATTGGCTATTTACGGGGCAACCAGAGTTCTGCCCGGTTGAGACGACCTGTTATTGCGAAGGGTATGGAATATGTTTCGACCCTAACGAATATCGGCTATACTTTCAGATTCGTGGCGAAGCGCGCAAGTTGGAGGGAGAGGTTCGGGAGTTGGAGTCGGAAGCGACTGAGGCAGACATCACCACTAGTGAAAGGATAAGTGAGCTGAAGAGCAAGATTGATGAGCTGCATGGGAAAATGGATGAGATAAGAGCCAGGACGAAGGGTATTGAGCAGTGATTCCTTGGTTTTATACACGGTCTGGGCTAACTGGCATTGTTGGGGTTTCTCTTTCGTGGCGCTGAATATGTATAGTACATTTGTCTGCCAACCATTTCATTTCCTTTTCTTCACATTGTCTGCGGTCAGTATACTCTCTTTATGACTGTCCATAGATGCAAGTCAGGGCATGCTTCCATCAGGTGTTATGGCGTCATGTGAAAAGCCATGTTGCCAATTGTTGTTTGTTGTCTCAATGAAACACCAACTTCTACATAAGCACGAAGCAGATGATGGGTCATTTTTTGACCAGATTCCGCCGAAGTGCTAAGCGTTACCTGGTGAAATATCTCTATGAGCTGTCTATCATCTAGGAGAGTGTCTGATTTCTGGAAGGTCTATCATTATACATTGTGGACGGAAGTGATTTGTCCACGGGAGAGCAAAAATGACCTCTACAAGAAGGCAACCTTGTTCCTAGTGGAGTGAAAGTCTCGCGCTAGCGACTCTGCACCCAATGAACGCGAACTCCATTATATGCAGCAGAGGGACTTTAACCTTAATCCATGTGACTAGTATCAAATGTTGTGCTATTTATCGCATGCAGACAGCAGAGTGCCCCTGTGTAGTTCTCACCACCTCCTTGCAAAGAATCAATAAATATCATACTCCAGAGGCTGCCAAAGATCGACATACCGGAAGTAAAAGAAGAGAATGGACGAATAGAATACCAATCATAGGCATAGGAAAAGGAAAGCCGGTCATTTTCTGCAGCGCTTCTTGTCCTGAGTTCCACTTCGCCATTCTATTGCATTTCAGAGACAGCATTCATCTAGTGTGCAGAAGACTAAGATGGATTTCTTAAACATGTCGACTCTTATATCTTCATCATTAGTATACCTCTTTTCCTATACATCTCATAACATCTGCCCACCAAGAGTTTTCTTGTCTACAAGATTCCTGAAGACTAATGATGACTGCCTCAAAACCTCTTCCGCTCTTAAACCTAACAGGGAAGGGGTTATGGTTCGTGCTCTTTCAGCCTTTCCTTGGCTGTTATAGGAGAAAAGTCTATCAACGAATGTTGAACCTATGATGAAGCCGGTATGATCGGAGCTGTTCGGGGTCGGTTAGGAGTCGTATTTCCTGTTCCCAGTGCGTGTATAAATGCCGCGGGTTGGTCACTGCTGAGGACTGGCTACCGATTGTATCTCGGACGAACTCGGCATGCAGAGAGAACAGTAGAATACTGACCAATGGGATTTCCAAACATTTCTGCAAAAGACTAGTGATGCAAGGGTGCGGAGTAGTATTTGAAGACCCCTTTGCCGATCAGTGATCGGCGAGAAGATGATACATAGTAAACGATTAGCCTTTTCCCAAGAGGCCCGCAAGAAATCTGCCTGATATCACTTTGTGGTCGTTGACAAAATCTTCAAAAAACTATTTATACTCGCGACAGTCCTCACATTGAGGTCAAACTAATTCTCTATCATCCCGTTGCATTATTCCATATCTTCCTTGACTCACGAAACCAATGCGCCCCTTTACCATTATATCCCTTCTTGGGGTCGCTCTCTGGCCCCCGGTTAGCGCCATCGTCAATGGTATCGAGGCTTCTGCTGTCGACTATCCTTATATGGCAGGAGTACTCTCATCCGGCATCTTTAACGACGCCTTTTTCTGTGGTGGAGTTG